TGGACCTGCACCTCCGCCCTCCAGGCCTCGCCCCAGCGAAGGTGTCCCACTGTCCTCTCGCCACTCAGCCTTCTCTGGCGCCCTGGCCTCGGGCGGCTCTTAGCCCCTAGAGAGGCTGCGGCCGTGTCTGCTGGGCTCCGGCAGTGGGATATGCAGCCTGGGCAGGGGCTGCAGGCTGAGGGGACCCGGCCCAGCCCCCACCGGGGCGGGAGACTCATGCCCTCCTCCCCAGGGTGGAAGTGGGCAGCGGGCTGACCCTGTGCAAGGGCGGCTGCGAGGCCATCGTGGACACGGGCACCTCCCTCCTGGTGGGCCCCGTGGACGAGGTCAAGGAGCTGCAGAAAGCCATCGGGGCCGTGCCGCTGATCCAGGGCGAGGTAGGTGTGGGACGGGGGCTGGGCAGGACGGGACAGCGGCGTGTCCAGCGCCCTCATGCCCATCCTCCCCTCTCAGTACATGATCCCCTGCGAGAAGGTGTCCAGCCTGCCCAGCGTCACCCTGAAGCTGGGGGACAAGAGCTTCACCCTTTCCTCGGAGGACTACACGCTTAAGGTGGGTGGGGGCCAGACACGGTGGGGGGGGTCACAGCCTAGCCAGGGATGCTGGCCCGTGTGTGACGCCATGGCCCCGCAGGTGTCCCAGGCTGGCAAGACCATCTGTCTGAGCGGCTTCATGGGCATGGACATCCCCCCGCCCAGCGGACCTCTCTGGATCCTGGGCGACGTGTTCATCCGCCGCTACTACACCGTGTTCGACCGTGACAGCAACAGGGTGGGCTTGGCCGAAGCCGCCAAGCTGTAGCTCCCTCCGGCAGAGACGCAGGGGGCTCGCACCCCGTCCTTCCCCACACACACTTGCACACTCACGCTGGGCTCTCCGGAGGCCACGCTCTGGAGGCCGGCCTCGCTGTCCTGTCCTGCCATCTCTCCTCCTGGGTTCAGACTTGCTGCCTCTGACTCGGGGCAGGGAGAGGCCCGTCCGCACACAGACCCAAGTTGCCCGCATGGAAGGCCCGGCCCGGGCTCGCACCTGAGACTTGCTGCCTCCCGGGAGCCCCTCCCCGGCCCTGCCCATGCCTGCCGGGCCCAGCCCCTGCCCTGTGCCAGGCCACCCTCGCGGATCCTCCTTGGGAAGCCCGCCCTGCCCGAGCACCTCTCTGCCGGCGTGGGCCCGAGCTGGGCTTGCTGGCCTGGCGGGTGGGGGCTGGAAGGAGTGAGGAGGAGACAGACGTCAGGCTCGAGGACCTACAGGGTTGTCCCGGGCTGACCCCTGGGGGACACTTGCTGGCTGGGGGCAGGGTGGGACGGCGCAGTGTGACGCGGCCTTTCTCTGTGGCTGACTCCCCTGCCCTCTCTTGGGTGGCCCAGAGCCAAGGTTGACATGAAAATACAGTTGTTTGGGCCTCTGTCCGTGTTGGCGTGTTTTGTGCGTGTTGGGGAGGGAGCTTGCAGGTCTGCTCTGGCGTCGGCATTCGGGGTTGTCTCAGGCCAAGCTCTGGGGAGCATTTAGGTGCCCCGGCCTGGTTCTCAGATCAGCCCTGCACGTGGGCCCCCAGGCTGTGGCCCGCTGTCTGGCCCAGTACACTTGCAAGGACTGGCTTGTTCCCAGGCCCGGAACTGTAACCAGCAGGTCATGGCCTTGACTCGAGGCTGCAGGGTGGTCCGGCACAGGGTTTCTAGTGCCGGGCAGTATCCAGGCGCGATTGTCAGGGTGGCGGTCCAGGTGGGTGGACACTGTTTTCTCCAGAGAGCATGTCGGCTCTTGGAGGACAATCGCAGGCCCCATGGAACCTCTGTCACTCTCTGTACTCGTTGTGGGTTCCAAAAAGAACTGTCTACATGGCACTGGATGGCGGGGGCAGCGGCCTCCCATCCGGGCCTCTTTGCCAGCCTGGAGTCAGGAATCCCCTGGGCCACAGTTGCTGCAGCGCCTGATGGCCGGGCTGATTACCAGCGTAATCTGGTTCTGCGGGAGGGAAGGGGTTGGGAGCACATGCCCAGGGCATGGCAGCAGCAGCCAGCAGGGTTTCAAGGGATGAGTAAGAGTTTGTGAGTCCTTGGTGGTAGGGGCAGGGTGCCTGTCAGAGTCAGTAGCTCTGGGGTCTTGCTGGGAACCCCCACCACAGCAGATCGGGCAGGTGGGACATTTGTCATCGACCTGGTGGTGTCTTGGCCTGCAGGGCAGCGGCTGTCAGCCTCCCAGTCTTACGGACACGGTCTCTGGAGAAAGAACGTTTACCCAGAACTGCGAGGAGGCTGGTGAACCCGTGCCCAGTGTGCACTGCACCTGAAACCTGAGCAGAGCTGGGCTGGGCGCCGCGGGCTTGGCAGGGCTTCCAGGGACCCGTGTCAAGTGCTCTGTGCACTGGCAGGCTGGGGAAGGCAGAGTGGGGGAGGAGATGGCTGCCCCCAGCCCCCACCCCCGCCGCTCCTGTCAGGGCGGTCTCCATAGCTGCTCCTTTGGGGTTCTCGGACCCTGGCGTCTGACTCCAGGTCTGAGTCCGTGGAACCACCTCTGTGGTTTTCGAGCCAGTGAGCTGGGAGCTGCCGTCAGCCTGGGTAGCAGCAGGACAGCCCTGGCTGAGAAGGCTGCGTCCGACCACGCCCCGGGAGCCCAGCGCCTGACTGCAAACGCCAGCTCATGTCTGGCTGGCCCTGGCTGGCCTTTCGCCGCCTGGTCCCCTCTCAGTGGGCGCGTCCCGGCTCACACCCCTTGCTTGGCGTGACACCTGTCCCAGGGTGCTCTCAGGAGCCCACCTGAGTCCAGTCACTCAGGGAGGAAGTCCCTGGGAGATCCGGGCTTCGGAGAGAGGCGGCCCCGAGGTGGCCGGTGCGGGGAGAGGCCTGGCCCCCGCTGTCACCTTGCCCGTGACCTGGGCTGGCCCTGGCACTGTGGGCTGTTGCGCCCCCCGCCCCGCGTGGCCTGTGGGTGCTTGGCCAGGGACCTTGGGAGTGCTGATTGGGAGCCTTTGAGCAGCACTGACAGAGGCTGTGGGGCGGGCAAAGGCCTCAAGGGAGGTGGTGCCTGGCCGGGTGAGCACAGCTCAGACCCCGGGAGACGAGGTGGCAGGGCACACAGGCCACACGCAGTCTGGGAGGGCCCTGGGATGCTGGTCTGGTTTCCTGGGCTGGGCCCTGGGGAAGCAGGAGGGAACCCTGGCTCCCGGGCAGGCCCCATCTGCCTGCAGGGCCTCTGGCCTCCCCGAGCCTCCTGGGGCCTGGGAAGTCCTCCCATCACTGAGGTTGCCGGCATCCTTGAAGGTCAGCTTTGTGTTGTGGGCTCCTGACCTGCCACGAATGAGGCTGTGCCAGGGGTCAGGGAGGGGAGGGGCTCGCAGAGGGGCAGGGCTGGTCCAGGGGACCCGGGTGCAGAGGAGGGCTTGAGGCTCAGCACGGACGCTGGCAAGAGACGGGGGCTCAGAACCAGGGCTCAGCCGCCATGGGCAGGCCACAGTCGGGGGGCGTCCCTGAGCCTGACCCGGGCTCCGAGAGGAAGGAGGATCGTGAGGAGAAGCCAGGGAGGCGTAGGGGGGCGGAGGAGGGAGTTCCATGGGGACGGGGCTCAGGGCAAAGACGGGGCTTGGAGGGAGACGGGGAGGGCAAGGCTGTCACACCACAGCACACCCTCCGGTGCTTCTGAGATGGGCTGGGACTGCCGGGGTGCCGACTGGAGGGGACCCAGCTCAGACAGGCCCCTGCATGGCCAAGTGGGAGACCTGGCGGGAGGGAGGACAGGCGAGCTTTCTTCACGGGGAGGGGGCTCCTCGGGACTTTGATGGGACCGGGGGTTCAGCTGGGACAAACACCCACGAGAGGGTGTCTGTGGCGGGACACTCGAGGGGCTAGGAGGGCTGGGAGGACAGGCATGGCCTGGGAGAAGGGGGGCGGCGGGGGCAGAGCCCCTCAGGCCCGGATGGGCGGGTGGGAACGGGCCG